AGAAACTATCGAGGAATACTTTCCTCAAACCTCATTAGCAGGGATTTTCGATGACAATGCCAGACCTCATAGAGGCAGTGTTGTTCATCAATGTTTAGAAAACCTGGAAATTTCCCATCTGCCGTTTCCCCCATTCTCTCCAGACCTCAATCCCATTGAGCACATGAGGAATGCGTTGCAGAGAAGGTTTTTCGATCACCATCCGCAGCCATGGCCTGCAACAACTGAGTGTAACATAGCAACATCTATGAACTGAAATTCCTTCTGAAATTAGTGACAACCTTATTAACAGTAACACAGAAGTTTTAGTTAACAGAGGACTTTATACACTCTATTATTTGTATAAAAAATTATTGTATCCAATAAACAAAATTATGAAATTAAAACCTTTTAGTTTGTTATTTTTCAAAATCGCTTAATTAAATTTTCCTTCAGTAAAAACCTTATAATTTCTAATCAATTTTATTGCAATTTATAATTTTAAAACATGCTAGGTAAAGTAAATACGACCAACTTGGCAATATCCCTATTCATTTTTGAGCAGTTTATTATATATAGATTCATTTAAAAGGTACATGACCATTTTGCATCGACAAACCGTATGGCCATGATTTTTAAAAGAAACTATAAGTAATAAAAAAATTTAAATTTTCCTTCAAATAAAAAGATGCCGATGAAGGGTGTAAATTTCCCAAAACGCCAAAAATGTAATGTAAAAATAAAGCAAAACATATTTTTAAAAAACCACGGAAAAGTTGTTTTTAACCACAAATTATTAAAAAAGACAAGTATTCAAAATTATCCATGTTACATAATAAAAATTATAATATAGATCTATGTGTTTCATGCCTTTTTGTTTCATTTATTCATACTTATCAATATATAATTTCGATCCAAAACATGCAATTTTCATTATCAGCTAACCCTGCCATGTGGAATGAAAATACTGAATGTAATATTTAAATATATTTAAACATTGAATTTAAATATTGTCCATAAATAGTCATACACTGCAAATATGTAAAATTCATAATTTGAATTTGAATGAAAAGGTTCGCATTACATAAAAAGCTCACTTTCAGCCCATTTAACTCGAATTTTTACTGGCATTGAATAAGTCTACTATTTATTTAACATTGACTTTCAATATTTTTCACAATATAAATCATACAATGCAAATATGCAAAATATACAATTCGAATGTGAAAGAGAAGGAAGTAAAAAGTAAGAAAGAAGTAATTCGTCAGGAAGCTCATTTTCATCCCATTCAATTCGTTCTGTAAGGGAATCTGGTCAGATTAATATTTCTTTAAATATATTTAAACATTAAATTTCAATATTTTGCATAATATAACTCATAAAATGCAGAAATGCCAAATACAATATTCAAATTTGAAATGGAAAGTTCGCAATTACTAAAAACGGTTCAATTTCAACCCATTTTACTTAGGTACTGTAGTTTAATCGGATCAGAATATAATATGTTTTAAAAATAGTTTAACATTTTATTTCAATATTTTGTTGAAAAAAAAAACACATACATTGCAAATAAACAAAATACAAAATCAAAGGAATGCTAATTTTCAGCCGATACAATACGTATTTATGTGGATTGGATCGAAATAAAATATATTTAATTATAGTTTAACATTGCCTGCCATATTTGAATGTCGCGGAAAAGGGGTTAAACTACTTAATAATACTTTTTTCGTATTATTCTTAATTAAAAAGCCGTGAGCTCTGTCGGCATACGAACCCAGATCGCTTACGTTTGCAAATTCGAGTCTGGCGCCCTTAGTTTAACATTTCGTTTAAATATTTTAACAAATACAACACAAATGTGCAAAATGCAAGAAAGAGAAGGTTCGTAATTGGAACGACTGTTTTTGCTGAGTAACTCGTGTTTTTCATCCAGTGAATTGGATCAGATTATTCATTTAAATAAATCGTAGTTAATCATTTTATTACAAATATCTTCAGTAAAAATGATACATTCAGTATACAATGTAAATATGCAATAGAAAGTATTCAAATTCGAAAGAAAAGTTTCGTAATTTGAAGTAGAAAGTTTACCTTTCAGTTCATACATATTTTACTGTGTTTGGATTAGTCTAATTTTTATTTAAACATAAATACACATTTTATTTGAAATATTTTTGGTAATAATAACTCAATATGGAACTATGCAAAATATACAATTCAAACAATTAATATACAATTTAAAAAAATTGAAGTAGAAAAAAATTCTAAAAATTCATATTGTTTTATGTTCCTGGGTTTTTTAAATTTATATAGTCGGTGGAAAAATGAAAAACAAGAGTTTCGTGGCATATTGTTTTCTTTATTTTTTATGTTTTATGCTCTTTGGCAAAATCAACATGTATATAGAGTAATTAAATTAGATGTTTATTTTTGTTGCGAGGGCACAAATTGTATACCATGGAACACTTAGTTTTCTTTTCTCTACCAGCAATCTAAATTTCTAAATAATCACATTATACCGCATCAATTTTATAAAAAATATTATTTTTAACATAATATTTCTATACCTTTAAGTGTTCATACTCATGAGAGCGATTATACATTCGGGAACAATTTATATTGATATTTGTGTATTACAAGAGAAAAGCCTGCGGTTAAACAAAAAGATTTAAAATTTCTTTATTGTGTTTTTTTTTAATAACTTTGTCTTTAAAAAAGCAGATGGGTGCCAATTGACATTGTTGTCAGCAACCCCATTGTAATTTTATGTTTCGGTCAAACGATTCAGACAGAACTTTCAACTTTGCGTTCTCACGCTGTTCGACCCTTTTTCGCCACTTTCGGTGATATCTACCGAAGATGGAAAAAAAAGAAACTCTAAAGAAATCACACCACGAATAAACGGACCGGGATGATGAAATGGGCTTATAACGTAATACAGTATTTTTTAAACTATTCAGACGTATTTCACAAGGTTTTTAAATAAATAAATACAAGTTGTTTTTTTTTACATGTTTTAACAATGACTTCTGGTCTGCTTGTTTTCGTTGTTTTCAACTGTCAGACGTATTTCGGCATCTCGCCATCTTCAGTGCTAGGATTATGTAGAGGTTGAACTGTGCGCTTTCTCATGAATAAATCCTTCATACTTGAATTTCACAAGCCCATTAGTAAATACGCCAAGTTGTATTATTTATTCTAAGTTGCCTGACAAATCATAGCAGCGGGGATAGTTAAATAAAAAATGATCTGTAATCGACAAACTATATAAACTAAAATTGTAGGATTTCTTCATGGGGTCTCCTACGGAAAAATCTGGAGTTTGGAAGTTTCCGATGATTTTGATCTGCCTTAGTTTCGATTAGACAGATGCGTTGCGTCTACTCGTCATCTTCAAGGTTGGGATTGAGTAGCGGTTGATATGTACGCGTTGTCGTAAGAATTCCACAAACTAACCACTGAATGCGCCAAATTGGTCAAACTGTCTGACAGACCAAAGTAAGGTAGGTAGACAAAAAACTTTCTGTAACCACCAAACTCCATAAAAATCCATTTGTGGTATTTCCTAATGGGTTTCCTGCAGTTTGGTGGTTCCGATTATTTTGTTCTGCCTATTTTTGCGTATTGCAATTAATCGTTAGTTGAATTACCTTAATTACCGTTAATTATTATTATTAATTATTTTTTCACTAATTCAATTCTTGCATATAACTAATTAGTCAGACCTATTTCGGCTACTCGCCATCTTCAGACTGGGATTGTGTAGAGGTTGAACTAACTGTACGCATGTTTCATGATTAAGTCCTACGTACAGCAACTACACAAAATCATCACTGAATTCGTCAACTTGCTGAGACTCTGTTTCAGATATCAAAGCAGTAAAAAATAGACCAAAAATAATCTGAAACTACCAAACTAGATAAAATACGATTATGGGATTTCCACAAGGGGGGTGATGTTTATTTACTTTAGCCGTTTGCGATCAATTTGTTCTACCTATTTATGCTGTTTTCGTTAGTCAGACACGTTTCGGCTTCTGGCCATCTTCAATATTGGGATTGTTTAGCGGTTGAACGAAACTCCACAAACTAACCAACGAATACGCCAAATTGTCAAGAATCTGTCTGAAAGACCAAACCAGCATAGATGTAGACCAAAAATGATCTGGAACCTAAGCACTACATAAATTGTAACTGTGGGGTTTTATCATGGGGTTTGCTGGTTTACAAACCAGTAGTTCGATCATTTTCTTAAGACTTTCTTGCCAGACGGGTTTCGGCTTCTGGTCAGTCTTAAGTCGTTGTTTCACACGGTGTACACAACAATACGCCATATTGTCAGTAAGGATATCCATAAAGTCCAAACAGCACAAAAACAATTCCTTAAAACGATTTCTGTCATCCAAAATATAGGTCGTAATTAGTTTTTATATTAATTACTTAGATCCAGACTAATTGGACTTAAATGTATGGTAATTATTACATTTACATATCATAACCAAGGCTGAAATTGAAAATAAGTCGAAACTCATCTGCCGGGGTGAGGATAGGCACTAATCAGTGATAATAAAAACCCTATAATTTCACTCATAACTAATCAACATGATGCCTCTAAGAAACGATTTATATGACAGGCCGGGGGTGGCAATAATAGTGCAGTTTCTACACTGAAGGAGTCTATTTTCAGAAAGGCAATACTACCAATTATGTGTCCATTTTGAGAAAATTTATGATCAGTTTATGACTCCTGGCTGGTTATTTATGAAAAGCTCCCTTGTGACAGGATGGAGGGAGAGCTTCTGGAGGGGCTGCGTCCAATGGAAGTGTTTCTTTGGGATGAAGCCGGTTGGTCGACGGTCCGTAGGCGGGGCGGACACCCCGGGAAGCATCAGTGCTCACCAAGGTGCAAGAGAGTCTCAGTCCGTGTTCTCCGGTTGGAGAGTTCGATAGGCCGTTGTCAACTTTCACCAGATCCGACCGAGAGATGAGTATCTGCTGACGATAGTGCAGGACAGAAGAGATGACCGTCACCAACTTCGATATGATGCGCCCTTGCTTTACTGGATACCCTTTCCAAGGTGAGAGACACCAATAAAATCGCGGACTGTATTTTCTAACAACACATTCTCATTTTTATTTGAAATTAGTGACTGTGAGTGTATGTGTATGACTCCCGTGACAGTGTGCCTTTTTATTTTGGTTTTTCTATTGAGTATTGGGCAAATACATTTTCAACTCATTTTGAACTAATCAATTAACAAAAACAGTACAATGACACTGACAGCAGCAATGCACAATTTGTTACTTGACAAAACAATGGGTAAGTTCATTTTTATTTCTTAAAAACCCATTATATGTACATACTAGTTATTATTATGGAGTCACTTTAGTTGCATGTAGCTTATGGTGACCTTTTATTAAATAAATGTAGTAAGAACATGATCATAACATGAAATTTTCAAAAAAAAATCCCTTAACTGATTTTAATTTATTCAGTGGGTTAATCGCCGTTTAGCATGAACAGGCCTTCAGTGGCCTACATCAACTCAACAGAAACAACTTGTAAAAATTTTTCTTTAATTAAAAAAAAAGTTAAATTATACGACAAACAATAAACCAGATTTTTACATGTAATAAAAGCATAATTGTAGAAAATAATTAAAATTATAATATAGGTTAAGATTTGCATGAACATTATTTTCTAAATATTAACAATATTTTTAATTTCGTGACATATGCCACATTAATAATTAATACAATGAGTATGTATGAATTAAATAATTTCCTTTAATAGATAATAAATATTTATTAAACCTATTTTCTTTTAGTTTATTGCAATTATTTATTACATTCGCTAAATAGAATTTCCAAATGTCTTATCAATTTTAACATATATTGCACTTTTAATTTTTTCAGTTCTGCCATTTTAATTAGTAACAAAAGAATAAGCTTTTTAATTTTCTTAACTCTCTTAAAGTTAACTTACACAACGAAAACTGTATAAATGTTAGCTATTTTTATTTCTAGTAATGAGTAAGTATTTCGAATAATTTAAAATGATAGCACAATCTACATAATAACCCCATGAAAATATACTTTTTACGTTTAAAGGTTGAATAAAATTTTACTTTCATGTTTCATAACCCTTTTTCAGTGTACTGTCTTATATACTAGTTACAAATTTGTAGTTTAGTTATAGTGTGGTATCTAAAATTGTCGAAATGCCCAAAAGCCTCTTACAGAGATTATGGGCAGTCCAAAATGATCGGTAACGTCCAAAGCAAATATTGTAATCTAGTTTTATTTGGAATTTCAAAAACGTTTGTAATACGAGCATTTATTTAGAAATAATCAGTTGAAAAACTTCAAAGATTTTAGGTTATTTCAATTATGGACAGTTTTTATAACTTTTCGTCTCTTTTATTTTTACAGAAACCATAAACGTCAGAGGCTAAATTAATTTCAAGTTAGTTACATTGATCTTTATATTCTGTCAATAGATAGACTAGATAGATATATAGATTTTCAAAATAAGTAATTTTTGTCCATAGACTGTCGGATTTTTTAAAAAAAATTGCATCTATTCGTTTATTATTTGTAATAATCAATTTTCAAATATTATTTTTAAAAATTATTGCGTGACTAATGGTTTAAGAATTTTTAAAAAAATATTGTCATTTATCCGATTTATAACGTTTTCTTCAGGCGTGTTACAATTTTAGAAACTCGTTTTCAAAATTTTCCAGCAAAGGTAAACACATAGAAATCGATAGCAGTTCCAACAGGCCGCCTAATATCGCCGAGTGTTTCGGAATTTGTCTTAAAATCAAAATTATTCCTACTCGGAAAGTATCTGCATGTAAAATCCACCAATGATGATGTCGTGTAACGTGGCTTTTCGGTAACCAATGATAACAAAGTCACATTCCTATTGTCAGATAAATTTTTGACTTTTTTTCAAATATGTTTTATTTTTCTAAATTGTCATGTTACTATAGCTGAAACAGGATATACGAAGAATGAATTAAAAATTATGTGAAGTTAAATTCATACAAAACCACTTATGAACTGTTTTTGTGTTGATGTATTTTTACCATTACCGGGGTAACTACCCTCAATACCTTTAACTGTAATTAAATTGTAAAGGTAATTAAATGTTTTATTTAAATCTTAATTTTGGACTAATATTAATTAATAATTATTATTTAATTAATATTTATCATATTTAATAAAATCATGTATTATCATGTTCTAGCATACATAAACGTACGATAAATAAAAATCTAGTTTTTGATAAGACATTTTTTAACAGTACCATTTTTGAGAGATAGGATTACAAAATTTACAGTTCTCGAGCAAATAAAACGAAATATTTAATTGTAAAATATTTATATTGATTAAATAGTTCAACGACAGATTATTCAATTTTAACTATATACATCTGAATATTTATAATCTACAATTTAATATTTAAATAATTTTTAAATGCTACTTGTATTAAACAAAACAAAAATTAAACTACCTTTTAATTTTTCATCTATTCGAGCATTAAAACACACTAGTTTTGATTGAGGTTCCCTCAGATGAATATTTCTGTTTGCAAAAAACCTAAAAGTTAGTTACTAAATATAAAAAGTACACGCAGGTATAATGCATAAAATAATAAAATAAAACCATACAATTGTACAGATCGTTTAATAAATGACAGAATGGTGGGAAAAATCTACTTGTCAGCATGTCGGTAGAATTTGCTAATTATTTATCATTTTTAAACATTATAAAGGATTGGCATGGAAAATCTTTAAGATTATCTACAGTTTCCTCTCCAATTTGGTGCTTCCTGCTACAATACTCAATTGACGTTGTTAAGAACAATTTTTATTTTTAGCAGAGTTTAAAATTATATATTTTTACAATTATTTTACAACTTAAGATGCATGCCTTCAGATGCTTGCTAGAGCTTTTAGTCATAATAAATTTTGATGTGGTTTCTGCCGGAATGTAACCCACGGATGTTCCTCAGATGTTTGCTCGACCGGGCAAGGGCGAGTGAACCAGCTTGGGGGTGTGTTCATCAACGGGCGACCCTTGCCGAACCACATTCGGCTCAAAATTGTCGAAATGGCTGCAGCCGGGGTGCGGCCCTGCGTTATCTCCAGGCAGCTCAGGGTCTCACACGGCTGCGTGTCGAAAATCCTCAACCGTTACCAGGAGACTGGAAGCATCCGACCTGGGGTGATCGGAGGCAGCAAGCCGAGGGTGGCAACCCCGGACGTCGAACGGAGGATCGAGGAGTACAAAGGAGAGAACCCGGGCATCTTCAGCTGGGAAATTAGAGACAGGTAATTAAAATCACTTACTCCTCACATAATGAACCTCCGTTCAGTTTCTTTTCTTAAAAAGGAAATATTTAGAACAATACGTCTACTTAAACCGCTAAACAAAAAGTCTGCAAATTTTCCAAAGTTTGTTCAAGAACTGTCAGTTCAATTTAGAACAAATTTTGAAATTTTATCTAGAGATGCTGCAACAAAAATTTTCAGGGAACAAATCCCAAGTAACACTCACAGGCTACATAGCACTCGAAAATTATGTATTTACCGGCAACTGAAAATTTTTTCTACCTCAATTTTTCACAAATTTGGTCCGTCCATTCTCGCTTGTTACCGCTTTTAAAATTAGCCATTTGTTTTTCGTATTTTACACATTTAAATACAATTTTATGCTATTTAACACAGCTCAGAAGAACCATTTCGATTTTTCTTCCTTCATCGGTTATCACCGAAGTGTTGGAAAAAGGACGAACCTAAGAACGCGAAGTTGCAAATTCTGTCATACTCGTCCGACCGAAACAAAAAATTAGGCTGACCAGGATGATCAGGGTTGATCAAAACAACTGACAAAACCTTTTTCAGTTCGTAAATCTTCACAAATCGGACATAATTTAGATTTTCAAATGTATAATCCTCTTCCAAGCCGGCCTAATAGATTTAATTAGGAAATAAAAATACACATTAGAGAAAAATGCCTTGGTACGAAATTTTTTTTCATCAGTTTGGTGTCTGTTCCGTCAGTTCTCGCTCTTTTCTCAACTGTTTTCGTTGCTAAACTATTCGAAAATATACCGCTTTGGAATTTATCATTTCGAAGAAAAATAAACCTCTTCATCCTTAAAAACTGCGTTATCAATAATAATAATAATAATAATAATAATAATATTTTATTTAATGTTATAAAAGTAAATACAAAATAAAGCGATACACATCAATTAGAATGAATAGAATTATCAAAAATCCAGCAATATATTACATATCAATCCCTATCATATTTCTTATAAAATGGAACACCTGAATTTTATATATAATTGTTTATTTGCCTCGCCGTCATAAGTATTCATATTAATAAAGCTTATCAACCTTAGATTTGTTAAAAATATATAAATCAATTCTACTCTATATAAAAGAGGAGATTTATGGGCCGAGAAATAACTGAGGTCATCGCCGACCTTCTGGAGATGTACTTCTTTTCCTATTTTATCACGCTTATTTTTTTCAACCTGTAGCCTTTTGTGCGTCTCGATCTGGTTACTGAATCTTCACTGTTCTATGTATATTACGTCGATATCATAAAATGCTAGGCCTCTCGTTTGTACCTCAGGTTGTCGACTACAGGACGGTTTAGATTGATGGATGGATGGATGGATGGATTCCAATAAAATAAATTAATTTTATCAATTCATCCTAATTTAATTGATAGTTGGGAAAAAGTGGACAAGCTTCCCTTACTTTTTCAACCCTATTCCCACGGTTGGACTATTTGCTACTTGATTATATACATATATAAAGCCAATATTGTAAGATAACCTGTTAATGCAACCTGTATATAACCAAAAAATTAGCATCATGAAGACTGTATAGTATTGAAGAATGATTAACCCAAAACTAAATATAGATAAGAAACCAATAGAATTTTTATTTTACATTTTATTTAAATTATAATCAAAGGGTCACACTAGATAATTTCTTTTCGATTTTCAATCTATTTAATTGATAATTGAAAGATGGAAAATATCACAAAAAAATCCCTGCATCATCGTTGTATTATTGTGTAAAAAATCGATGGGAAAATGTTTATCTCTGGAGAAAAGAAAAAAACAGATTAAACACTGATTTAAACTGAACTGTAGAACTGTAAAAATAAGATAATGGGAGAATTTAAAAAGAAAACTTTAATTAAATAATCTTAAGTAAAAATTGTCGATTCGCTTTTCTAAAAATAATCTTAGGTGGTTTAAGTGTGATAAAGTACATGATATTAAAACTACAACGATAAAGATGCAAAGCACAACTTTTTCAATATCGTTTCAACTTGATTAATCTATGAAGGAATAATATTATAAATATGTTTAATTAAATTTAAGTTTAAATATTTTTTAATCAGAAAATTAGTACAGTTGTTATTTATTAGTATTACATTACTCAGCGGAATTTGAAGCAGATTTTCTAAGTTAAAAACTACTGAATAAAGCCACTTATTACATAATTTGATACTATCAAAAATTACTTTTTAATTAATTTTATCAATACATCCTAATTTAATCGATAGTTGGGAAAAAGTGGACAAGCTTCCCTTACTTTTTCAACCCTATTCCCACGGTTTGACTAACACGTCTAATCCCGTAACAGTTCCTTTTATGGGAAAACGCGCAAGTTGTACACATTGTTTAACGCGTTGTCGTACGTGTTCATCCACTAAAATAGTTTTCCGGAAAAAACTAATTTCTGATAGAGAAAAAAATCCATTTCAGGGATATGAAATTATGTAAATATTGATTACTTGCTTCTTAACCAAACAAAATATATAGGTGGCTAATTTACCAAAACTTCATTCATGGAAATGAAGGCATCATCAATCATCAGTTATTCATTGACTCACTCGCTTACACATTTTTTCATTGGATCGCACGTAAGTTTACAAAACTACCCATTCCCTACATATTTGAATAATCGGTAAAGTTGATTGATTGACTCCTTCGCTCACTTACTACCCACCTCAATCAATCATTAAATTAAGACTATTCACCCACTTATATTAACTTCATAAATCAATCATTTATCCATTTTCCACTTACCCACTAACGACACTCAGTCACTGAACAACTAGCTGACTCAATAAATCACTTATTTACGCTTTCACTCAACTACTTCCATAACCCATTCAATCAATCACTTGAGTATTCGCTCACTCAAATCGTTTACATATTGCACTTCAACTCACTCGATTTTTATTAGATCACTCTCTCATTCAATCACTCATTAGCTCAGTCAATCACTCAACTGCTCCATCGTAATAACTCAGTTAAATATTCGATCATTCATTTATTTTTTCACTAACTTTTCTATTCATCTAATCGTTGAAGCAATTGACGGATGATTTGCTCATACATTTTTACACGGTTATATCAAATTTAGTCCAAAATATTAAAAACTCATATTTTTTAGAAGAATATTGTTAGCTGTTGCCAATTTGATGATTATTGGTCAGCATCATTGGATATCATTATATCAAGCGGCGACAAGAGACGAATACAAAGAAAAAATATGAAGTTCTCTATCGTAGCAACCTGAGTATACAATAAATAGTATATAATATAGGCATATTTCATGTTTATCTATATCCAATGATTATTTGAAGATCGTGAGGTGCGGTCTGGTATGACGTAGGTTTTAGAAAAACAGTTTCTTTATCATGCCAACGTTTCGATCTTTATTGAGATCATCTTCAGGGCTCAAAGTGTTTTACACGGAAAATAAACGCTATGAGCCCTGAAGATTATCTCAATATAGATCGAAACGTTGGCATGATAAAGAAAATGTTTTTCTAAAACCTACGTCACACCAGACCGCACCTCACGATCTCCATATAATCAATTATTGGCTAACGGTCACTAAACACCACATATTTCTAAATCCAATATTCATTCTAGAAGTGATGTTTTATTTTGGAATATTTTCTCGTAATTCTATTTTTCTTTATCATATTGAATAAATTAATGTTCATTAGCTTAGAGATTTGTAAGAGAGTAATTCGTCATTTGTCCCCCGACTAATTACCATATTCAAATATTGTATCAGGGCCACCGCCGAAAAAATGACTTATGTGACAATTAGTGTGGAGCAGGGGGAAAAAGAGAGAACATGTGTGCCACTTAGTACTGCTCAAGTAAGCTTGTAATTCGAGTTCAACGATGCAATGTACAAATTATTCATTTTAAAAAAATCAGATACACAAACAACTTACACTTATTATTTGCCTTGTTGTGTTAACGTTTGAGATGGAAAACAAATACGAGGAGAAATACGAGACATACTTTTAATCCTCAATCCAAGGAAAAACCATCTCCTCATTGATTCTACAAAGCCCTCCCATGAATAATTTAACCACCGAGGCTGTGTGAACGTCGGTGTTGGGACTCGATTGATCATCAATCAATTTTAATTGAACTTTACGGTTCAAAAAAAGAAATAGCATGTTAAGATTCATAGTTTTTTAATATAATCCGTATACATCTCTTGTGGGGTGGTTTTTCTATTTTTCTACTACTTTATGTAGTAGAATAATGTAGAAAAGAGAAAGAGACAGGAAGAAAGACAAATAGGTGAGAAAGGGAAGAGATACGGTGTGAGAGAAGATGAACAAAAAAAAAGAGAACGGGATTGAGTGAAAGGATAGATGATTAAGAGAGAATAACAATCTCACAAAAAAAAGAAAGAGGAGAGTAGGTAAATAATAGCAAAGAGAAAATTGAAGAAAATAGATCATACTTGAAAAAATTACCTAAATGAGAAAGAAAAAAGATAATCGAAAAGAAGAGAGTAAGTGAGAATGAGAGAGAATAATTCAATCATTGGCAAAGAGAATACAGAAAGGAGAGAAGCGGCAGGAAAAAAGAAAAGGCGAATGAGAAAGGAAGGGCAAGAGTGGAAAGGAGGAGATAGAGAATGACGAAAGTTTATTAAAAGAGGAAGACAGATAAATTAATGGCAAAGAGGAAACCGAAGGGAGAAGTGCAAATAGGAAAAAAACAAGGTGAAAGAGATATGATGAGAGATTGAAGGACTGTGAAAGACAAAAAAAGAAAGAAGAAAAATGAAAAGAAAAAGAAACAATTAAGAGAGAGAGAGAGAGAGAGAGAGAGAGAGAGAGAATGGTTTAGTTGCTATTAATTGCTAGCAAAGGGAATATAGAAAGGACGGGGTAAAAAGAAAAGCGAATGAGGAGGCAGAGAAAAGCGGGAGCAGGAGATTGAAAGAAAGAATATATTATCTAAAGAAGAAGACAGATAACTAAAGGCAAAGAGAAAATTGAAGAAAGGTAGGAAAAGAGATTGAAGGAGAGTGAAAAGTATGCAAAAAAGAAGAAAAATGAGAAAGAAAAAATATGATTGAAAGAAAAATATTGAGCGGGAAAGTGAGTGAAAAAAAGAGACATTGAGATTGAGATAAAACGGAGATTGAGATAAATTGATATTCAGCACTCCTTTTTCCTTTTTTTTTAGTTTTACATATTATTGACTATATACATGTCTATTAATGTTCTAATTTGAAAATATTTTCGATCGAGATGTAGTCTGTCTGAATCAATGTTGTAATTAATACAATAAATAAAATTATAATTTTTTAAAATTATAGTTTATCAAGTAACTTATACTATTTAATCTTTCGTAAATGATCATTTTCTCAAGGGAAATAGTATTTCTCTTAGGTTGGAGTTATTCCTTCAGTACATATTACGATAAGCCTTATATATTTTTCAAAATCCAACTAAAATATTCAAAATCAAAGGGTAAAGGAGAGAAAATTGTTCATCATAGCAGGTCAATGGTTGTACAATTTGAAAAATTACCGATGTGGCCAAATTTGCACGTCCTCCAATGAAATTCCCAGTAAAGCACAGTCCATAAAAAAACGAAGATTAGCCTATAAAAATTAGGAGGTAAATTAGCCCCTTTTTTTATTTATGGCGTTTTTTTGTCCCGGTTAGTTTATTACGGTGACGTCTGGCGGCTTCCGTCCCGAGGGCCGCCGTGACCAATTTCACTCTAAATTTAAATGTCTTCTCTTTCTCGCCGAGTCTCTCTCACTCTCCAGGTCCCTTTTACCATTTATCCTTTACACTTGATTGACAGAGACGTCGAACCGAAGTGTTTCCGGCAGGACATTCTCCCGTGACATCAGTCCGCTTTGTTTCGCCGTGTTATAAATCACTATTGGAGGGCTTATTGATGTTATATTTGTCACAGAATTTCATGCGGTCGTTTCAATTATCCTTGATTTGTTGATTTCTCAATTTTCTGGCTCGTTTATTGACATCTGGCTGGAATATGACAATTTTCCCATAATGTCTAAACTGAAAGTGTGAATGGAATTTAATTTATTCTATGGTGAATGTTTTTTAATATATGTTTGTCCTTCTTTGTAGGACGATTTAATTGTTAAATTATTATATTTTGACTGGGTTTAAATCAGGGCCGCTGAGATTCGAACCCGAGACCCTTGCAGTGATACGTGTCAAAGCTTAACCGTTCCGGCCGCCTACCCCCTATTTGCATTATTTTTAAATTAATTCATTTTTTGTTAACAATGGTAATCAATCAATTGTGTTGCCCTCTTCTTTCATTCATTTTTTAAAACAAATGTACGTTTTTTCTGGAAAAATCTGAACTCTAAAGAATACAGGCCTTTCTATATTCCAAAGTAACAAGTGTGCCACAATTTTCAATATTTTTTTCTTCCGAAAACTTGTCGCATTTGGCCGATGAACTCAATGTGGTTTCGTCAGCCATCCAGCGTGTCGAAGTGATCGGGTGAATAGGGCGGATGAGGCAGAACAACCCAGCCAAACCCGTCCGGTCTGTAATGAGACGTGAGAACGGGAGCAATCTTGGAAGAAAAGCCCAACTTGAGTCGTTTCAGCGAAGAATAGCTTGATTCTAGCCGATTTTTATGCCGAAAACAACGAAGATACTCAGCTATTTTCTTCAATTGGGGGATTTTTTACCGAATATTTTGGTCATAAAACCAGCAATTTAATATTTGCAAGAATCATAAATTTTGTCCATAAAAGTTCTTTAATTTGTTTTCTTTCCAAATTTTGTTTATTAATAAGCTATAGGAACATTCTCTTTATTTACTTTTCTTATACTTCACTTTATGCGCCAAGAAATTGTACTTGAAATTTACTTTATTTATCTATTATTTATTCAATTCTGCAATGTATAGAAAAGTGTATGACTATTATAATACTGAAGCTTTGTTCTGACAGTTGTTATTTTTTTAAATTCTAGTTTTCAAAAACTACGAACCTTGTTTTATATATATTTATATGATTTTGTATGACTTTCAGGTTTTATTTCTTTTCCTCCATGATATTCCTGCTATCGCTTGTAAACGTGGCAGGATTAACATGAAGTGAATGAAGTCATTGCTGAAAGTGCTCGCTTTTAGTGGTAATAAAACGAGAAAAGATTTAATAAAACCGACTGTGTTCTGAAATAATTACTTTTCCAAGGGCAGTAAATCAGAGAATGCAGGAAGTCGGCGTTTTTAAACGCAAAACGAGAAAAGATAGCACGGAGCTTATTTTCTTTTACGACCTGCATCCGATAACGTTGGATTTGATAATATTGCAAATTCACCTTTTTTTATAGGTGATTAATCCATTAAGTGCCTGTCATTAAATACTGTCAATGGGAAAAATCAGTTCAAATATCAACCTAATTCTCCGTCTTTAGAGCAATAAAATAACAAGGAAGTCCAACACAGTAATTTATTTTTTGTGTTAAAATAGTAAACGGTTAATCAAAAATTGTCCTATTTATTCCTGGCCACGTTGTGTCCGAAGGTTTCCCAGTAAAATTTTCTTTGAAGTAGTGACAAATCACCAATAAATCAGAAAGCCCACTAAGCCGAAGTTTGTCTACAAAGGATTAGGACGTTACAGAGATTGTCTTCGGCCTGTCGGAACGATTTGTGGCCCTCGTACTTCCCGTCTCCTCATAGTTAGGCCCCTTTTTCCTAAGAGGCAAAATATTTTGAAACAATAATTAATATTTGGGAAGCCGTGCATTTTTTTTTTTTTCTTGTTGAAAATTGGCTTTATTTACTCTTCTGTTGGCAGAAGCCAAGCGGATGATGGCGTCATATTAAAGACTGAGGAAGGAACAAACGCGTGAGTATGACGCTTAAATAATTCCGTTTCAATAGATTTTTTTATCCTGAAACACGGACTTTAATTTTGTCAAAATAAATCGAAGGGAAAGATTTAAAACCAAAATAAACGATTTCATGGTCCGAAAAACTTATTTTCTTTCGTCTCGCTCATTGTTATTATTTTCAATAAATACCATATATAAATAATTCCTTTTATATATCTTAACTAAAAATATTAATAAATAATAGAGATTTTAAAAAAATTCGTAAATTCGAGTATAGCTTCTCTGAGTAAAATAGTTCCTTAAGACAAGTTAATTAATTAAAAATGATTTTTTTTAAGCCAATATAAATTTACAATAATGTGTTTCAACCAAACTGTAGCGACGAAAATAATCGTTAGTGTGATTAATCCACTTCTCTTAAAATCAATTTCTAATCAAAAATGTATCTGAAATTAGTAGTAATTAGAAAATGTGTGGTGTTTAGTGACCGTTAGTTAATGATTATTTGGAGATTATGAGATGCGGTCTGGTGTGACGTAGGATTTAGAAAAACGTTTTCTTTATCGTACCAACGTTTCGATCTTTATTGAGATCATCTTCAGGTGCCGACACCCAATAACGACACATCTACACAGAAAACAAACACTTTGAATGAGTCAAAAATTTCTAGCATTGTATAAATTCACTTTTTTCACATCCTATATGTATTTGTATAATTTAAACAATGTTTATAAATCCCAGGTCCTGAAGATGATCTCAATAAAGATCGAAACGTTGGCACCATAAAGAAAATATTTTTTCTAAAACCTACGTCACACCAGACCGCATTTCACAATCTCCAAATGATAATTAGAAAGTTCTACTATTAAAGATCTGGATTAGGATTCATGTAGCATGTGTTTTTTTTTTTCGTTTTTCATATTGATTCTCCTCCACATTACTTTATGTTCTACAAAAATTAATCGTATTTGTTTTTCCTCGGACACATAACGCATGTTAGCTGTGGACATTAGGCACCGAACGGTACCGGTCCTGTACAAAGCCCGGGGTTCAGTGCACCCGGTGCCGTAAATCTATTGGACGTCGGTTGCCGTTGGCACCCGAAAATTTGACGCAACCTTTTCGGGCCGTTTTCCGAGAAAAGTTCACCTACTTAATTACGGACGCAAGGGCCGCTGTTATTGTGTTAATTCCATCCAACGTACAAATACGCATTGAACCACTGGGCAAAATGTGGAAATTGATATACGGCTTGTCGTATTTTGTCATATTGTATGACCGTTGTTGTCATAAATCACCTTTTAAAATGCCCTAAATCGTAAGGTCTATAAGTACGTTTGTCTGCAAATATTCTTTAGTCGAGGTAAAAACAAGATTTCTAATATCAACTTGGCCTAGTTTTCAAAAAGGAAACAAACAAAAATGCCATGCATTTATCGAAAAACTAGCGTTTAGATAAATCTCACAAGTCGACAATTTTTAAAAATTTATTTCTATTGTTGCCCTTGAAAATACGTTTTATGTTGTCTGTTCAGCACTCTCAACACGACACGCAAGAATGGCACAATTACACAGAAGACAAACACTTTGAGCCCTGAAGATGATCTCAATAAAGATCGAAACATGGCACGATAAAGAAAATGTTTTTCTGAAACCTACATCACACCAGACCGCATCTCACGATTTCTAAATAATTTATAAGAAACCTTTACATTAGATAATATTAGAAAATTTGTAAAAAGGTTTACATACTCTTTTGCAGAATATTGCGTACCTATTATTACATGTATTATTATATTTATTTATGGATGGTTTAATTTTTCTTTATTTTCAGGCCTTTTTTACGGTGGTTTAAGAAATTTTTCAAATGGTTTGGTATCCTCTAACATTTTCATTTATTTTTAATTTAAAAACATAAAAATAATTAAGATATTAAATTAAATATACAATTAAATCATTTCAGGGACATAACTTACTTTTTTTAAATTTTACATTATTCTTTGAGAAAAAAGAGGTAATATAGTAATATTTTCAGAAATAAACCATATACTTGAAAATGGTACAGGTTGTCGTTATGTCCTACATTCAAAAAAGTCTCTTAATCCTCCTTCAAAAAATGCCTAAAAATAAGGAAAATTTAAACTTAATATTTCTTTTAAACTTCGAGCCTCATTGCGATTGAACTTCATTACATATTATTGTTTGTTAAATTAAAAATTCTGCTCGAACTAAAAGCTTTTTGAATTTACCTAAACAATAATATATAAAAGAAATTTTTCAAATGTAAGACAGTTTGGTATCTTCTAACATTTTCAAGTACATAATTTATTTTTAATTTAAAAACATAAAAATAATTAAGATATTAAATTAAATATACAATTAAATCATTTCAGGGACATAACTTACTTTTTTTAAATTTTACATTATTCTTTGAGAAAAAAGAGGTAATATAGTAATATTTTCAGAAATAAACCATATACTTGAAAATGGTACAGGTTGTCGTTATGTCCTACATTCAAAAAAGTCTCTTAATCCTCCTTCAAAAAATGCCTAAAAACAAGGAAAGATTGAACTTAATATTTCTTTTAAACTTTGAGCTTCATTGCTATTGAACTTCATTACATATTATTGTTTGGCAAATTCAAAATTCTGCTCGAAATAAAGCTTTTTCAATTTAACAATAACTTATACAAATTAAACCATCCACAATAAGAAAAAAAGGAAGGGCTGCAAAACCGAAAACAAGAAATATATTTATAATATTATTGAGACAGACAGCATATTTTACTTTTTTCAAGTACATGGTTTATTTTTAATTTTAAAAATAAAATATCTAAAAAATTAAAATTTTCAAGCATATGGTTTATTTTTTATTTCAACGTTCCTTAGAGAAAAAAGAATAATGTAAAATTAAAATATTTACTATAAATATATACTTGAAAATAGTATGGATGCTGAAATGTTGTACATTTCAAAAATTCCCTAAACCACCTTTAAAAAAGCATAAAAAGAAAAAAATAATATATATAATTAAAGCTTTTTGAATTTGCCCGAACAATAATATATAAAAATTAAACTATCCGTAATAAGAAAAAAGTAAGAACAGCAAAAATTTAGATTAAAAGTATATTTATATTATATTATTATTGAGACTGACAGCAAATTTTACCTGTATGTTAAGGATGTTAATTGAACAAACAAAAAAAGTAACTTTTGATCAGTCTTTCGACAATTAATGTTTTTACTTAGCACGTAATCATATTAAACTTGTTTATGGGTTTAACTAAACAACGATCGAAAAAGGCCTTCCGCTTATTTATAAAATTGTTATTCATGAGGAGACGTGATGAAAAAAAATGTATAGGTTTTTTTAATGTTTATATTCATAATCTCAACATTAAGGTTTACTTCGATTGACTTAATGTTATATTATTGTATGTGGAGTAGCAAGATTTTTTGACGAATCCATTACATTGAAATATTATTTATTAATTTGGAGTGATGCCCATTAGGTGAATTATTAAAAAAAAAAAATACGGACCATTTATTTTGTTCATGCCTATTTATGGACTATTATTGAAGTGTTAAAATAAATTCCTTGCAATTTTCTTAAATATTTCAGTTCATTTATTAGCATTTTAACCCAGTTTGGGAAGTGTAGATGCACCTGATATATTTCGAATTTTTCAAAAGAAATGTCTCTTAATTTACTGTAGACAATCTTTAAAGCGAATTAATTAAACTAATTTTTTTTCCTGATATTGTCAATCCTCAACTTTCACCGAATAGGCTATGTAGAACTTCTGTTTTAACTTCAGAAAATTCAGGTGTAAACGTGGAGTGCGATAAGAATACAACAGTTAAAAGAATCGGTTTATAATAGAGAAAATAAAGCGCAAGGACAATAATTCCCGCGTATCACGGGACATTAAAATTAATTGGCAGTTAAAAAAAAACCATTAATGGCCTCCCCACCTTGAAGTCATTCGTCTCGAGAGTTCCATTTGCACCGGAGCTGATATTGCACCAACCTTGATGTTGCACCTCTCTGACACTGTTCTAATGGAATATAATTTCAACAGGTTGATAAAGGAAGGATTGTGCGATCGGGGAAACGCTCCCTCGGTCAGCGCGATATCCAGGCTCTTGAGAGGAAACGACGGAGACGGAGACGACAAAAAACTCCTCGATGGTATGTTGCTTTTATCAATTGAATTATATATTTATAAAATATCGGGACATTTTTGTGCGTTTTGAACGATAAAGTTTTACATTGCCAACTACATTCCAAAATTTACTCTTCTTCAAACTTCGTAGGTCGTCCCATGAACCCCTGAAGTCAAATAATAAAACTAATTCTCCGGCCCTCTCGATTTAATCATTGACCAATTTTAAGTCTACAAAATAAATTCAATTTTATAAACATTGTAAAATATTATTAGTTACAAGGTGTTTCCGATTATTATTGGACGAGTTATAGATCCTGGTTCGAATCTTACCAATGTTCTTAGAATTTTCTTTTTTATCATAAGAACGAATGTATTTTAAACTGGTAATTGGTCATTTCCACGACATATCCAATAAAATACTTTACAGGCCAAACATGGCATATCTTGCTCAAGAAGTTATGAATACAATCAACATCAGATATTTTACACTGATTAAAACAAATAAAGAATAGTCGCATATTCTTTCACAAAGGCAAGAAATTGGAAATAATAATTAATAATAAAAACAAACTAATTAAAAAGTCACATATTCTTACAATCTATTGTAAAACATTTCTTTTACAACGAAAAATTCCAAAAAAAATCCATTTTGAGAGATCACCTGGGGGTCTTTGGGGTGATGAACCTGCAGTTTGCTAAAATTTTGGTCTACTTTCGCTCATTGTTTTGGGTGTTTCGGTTCGGCTTCGGATGAGTTTTTGCGTTTTATTTATTTGGTTCAAACCAAAATTCAGTTTTATTGATTAATTTTTTATCTACATATATACGGTTTGTGTCTAAATTAAAGAAAATTCAATAGTGCATAGTCCCGATTTTTAGGATGTTGCTTTCGGATTTAATTATCGCCTGGAGGATTTAGTAATATATTTTTATTTAAAAAAACGTGACAAATCACACACGTTAGCAAATGAGACGGGCCGGTGAAAAAAGGAACAACTCTCGTATAAAAAAAACCATGAACGGCTCGTTTGAGGGGGCGGAAGTCTCAAAGCTTGAAAACGCCGGGGGTAAAAATTTTCACCCCCTTTGTGAAACGTTTCCGGATCAAGGGTTGAAGACGGGGAAACACAAATTTGGCCCAGCTGTTTTAACAGAGCAAAGGTGCCGACCGGTACAAAAACGACTCTCGCCGTCCACACGCGCCCCTTGGCATATTGAGCGGAAAATCGGGCTGTTTTTTTCCCCACTCACCCATGTATCTCCGCCTCTGTGTAAACTTTGGAATCCTTCATCCCTTATTAAAAGTCAAATTCAATAAGGAAAAAATTTCAAAATACTGAAAAAATGTTGAAATCGGTCTCTATTCTGTTCTTTACGAAAAGTCGTTCCTTCTCCAAATGAATTTTCTATTTCATTAATTAACAAATTTTCATATATTTTCTAGGTATTTACCTATTTATAATGATATTAAGTATTTAAATCAAAAAATTTACGCTAACGAGAGGCGACATCTTGGTCAAATGTCCATCAGAGTAAATTAAACATAATTTTCACAAAAAATATTAAATAAATACCATTGAAATTTTCAAATTCACATATAATACAAGAAAGCAGATGTACAAATTGTTTAATTACAGCAATACCTGTGCAAAAAATATGCCAGATTTTATGTACAAACAATAGAGTCAGAACAACTAAAGACTCTTGGACCGCTAAATTTAAATGAAAATAATATGTTTGGCTTGCTTGTAATAATTAACAAGAAAGTTTACCAAACATTTACCATCATTTCATCCCCGCTTAGTTTGCTTGCAAATCTTTTTAACCCTTGAATCTTGGCCAAAGATAGAGGAAGTGGTACTTACTGCTCATTACTTTCAGACAACACAGTTGACATTATTCAGCATCTTAATTCAGAAAGGCAATTTTTTATTTTTATTACACCCGCACTGCTCTTTATATCACATATGTAACTCCTGAGTGGGAGGACCCAAAAGGGTATCGATCACGTTCTACTATACTTCCGCTGTCCCCACGCAATCTAGCGAATTTGGTCAATTGTTCTATACTTTATTTTAAAAGTTTTAACTCTTAAGTATTAAGTAAAGACAGCTGATAAATTCTTGCATAGAAAGGCCGTCAATCGATTAAAGCCAGAAGAATAGGATTCGGAAGGAAAGTGAAAAGAGAGCGGGCCCAAGCATGAAATTCGTTAAATAAGCCGATTTCTAACATTTTTCATATTCACTTTCATCCTAGTCGTCTTTGAATTTTTTTTCCGACAAATCATTGAATGAAGCTTAATAAATATTTTCATAATTCTAATGTCTTTGTAATTACTAAGCATCCTATTGAGGAAAATAAGCACAGTTCTTAACTCATGTAAAAGTATAGAATAATATGATTAAATTGCGGCTTTGAACCATTTTCCTGTCGGAATAATTACAAAATTAAACGTTTATACAAGTTTGCGAAACGCACAAGACGGATTTTATACTTCTTCATTTAAGACTCAAATTTATTTACGTTCTGAAAATCTTTGAAGTCTTGAAAGCTAATTATGTCATGTTTAATCTTAATCAGCCCTGAAGGTGTTTCTGTCCCGATTGTGAAGAAGGGTGATTCATCGGAAAAAATTCTGGGTCGTTTTATCGAAAGGTAAGATCTCTCGTTATCCGAGATGATAATGCCCCCGATGCAAATAGGAACTTTTGCGTTGTAGAAATTCGCTTGTTTGCCCGATATTGCGACACTTTGGTCGTTTGGAAAACAGACTTAAAACACCATAAAACACGTGTGTATCAATTGGGAAAGATTATAATCGAATTAAAACACTACCAACCGAGATATTAACCGAAAGCTGACTTTTTCAGAATAAAAATAAAAGAAAGTAATTCCGGTCATAAAGACATCTGTAGGGTATCGCAAACGAGAAGTCAAACCTCTTTACAATACATTTTTTTTTCAAATTAATATCAATTAAAATTTCATGAGCTAAGTGGAGATTCCAACCTAGAACCGCTAGCGTTAATGCCAGTCGGACGTGTAACCATTCGGCCACCGCAGTTGCCACTCTCCGAATATGAAGAACAAGGATGGTCTTAAAACTCAACCTTGCGGAATACGCTTACAAAGAACATGTTTATTTTATTAGCCAATAGAACTTTGAATAAAAGAAGTTTTTTAGAATGTGTTTAATCTGAAAGGAAATACATAAAGTTCTGTCCTGCAAGATAATAGGATGTACCAATCAACTGAACCTCGAATTAAGTTGAAACTTTGCCCAATGGCTGTGGTGAAAATTTTCCCATGTAATCAATTGAAAAATTGACGAATCAATGCAATTGTACTTGTTTTAAAGGTAACTAAAAAGACTCTTAACAAAAAAGAAACAAGAAGGAACTTAAAACTTTAACTTGCTAGATATTCGCAAGTGAACAAAAATCAATTAATTGGTGTAATATAAACGCGCTTTTCTAATCAATTAAAAAGAATTATTCTTGAATCCAAAAATCAGTATAAAAATACTACGAAACCACTGGTAAATTCTCTTCAATTTGGTTAAAAATGTTATTTAATATGAACATGAAATTAAAAACAAAAGTACACTCCTATATTGTATTTTAACATAAAAATATATATAAAATAAATTTCGATTTATACAATAGAAACAAACAATGCAATTCAATGCAGTTAAATGTATCAATTAGAATTATTTAACAATAAATACGATGATAAATGTTATTGATTTATTCAATATACTAGTATTTTGGACACGAACAAATTAAAAAAAATATTTAAACAAAATTGTAATTTAAAAATGAAAATGATATTAGTTTAAGCAATCTTGCATATCATCTACAAAAAATTATAGTCATTACAGACATATTTATTCCATCTTGCAAGGCACAGAATTCAGTTCATTTCTAGAATCACCGTTGATTGTTAATAACAAATTATATATTTAAAATATGTATAAAGAAAAGGAAAAACTCTAAAATGATACGTCCTTTTTAGCGGAACTAGAAGTTCGTGGAGGATCTGTTTTGGATTCATGATATATTTTATAATGGTGGTACGGAATTGTATTCCCTTTTTATATTGTAAAAAAAAATTGTCTTGCTTTGATGTTATATATTATTTCTCGATTTGATTTGATTGTTATCTCTAAAGTCACAAAGAGCCGTTTTTATACGATATGCAATTGTTAGTCGTAATAAAAGATAACACAGATCAGAGTAGCTCCTAATGTCGCCGAGTTGTATATCGGACAGTGCGGGAACTGAATTTAATCGATTGTATAAATTTATCTAATTAATTATATGATTATTATAATCAAATTTTATTACTGAAACGTTAAAGTTTAGATAAACAAGAACTGCCTAAAAACGTTGCCTTGTGAACTCGAAACAAATCAACTTAAGCGTAAATAGAAACAATTTTGGGTTTGTCTTTCAACAAATTTTCCACGATTTTATATTGTTTTTCAATTCAACTTTATTACTGTCATTAAATAGCATAGTAATAAGGTTATGATGATATTCCTTCTACTTTTTTAGAAACAGGTTTGGAGCCATTTTTAGTACAAACTAAATTGTTCATCACCAGTTCTTCCTTTATTTGCTTTTCTTTTTCAGACTTCTCGTGTTTAATCCTACTAATTTATTTTCATTTTTACCTGCCCTGTAATGATTCCAATTAAGACGGTAACTGACTCTCTTTTTATATTTATTCTATTGCTGTAGGAGCCTATATTACTTATTATCCTACCTACTGTACATCAGGGTATCGTCATTTTGGATAAAATAACACAGAAACACTATTTAACATTCACACTACCCCAGAATGCTCGAAATTCCTCGGAGTAATTAGAGATAAGCCCCTCCATTCGAGCTAATAAATTACATTCACAGATTACAACGCATTCACACCACATCAGAGTACTTTTTATTCCTCGGAGTGATTGGGGCCCTCTCCAATAATTTTTCGCGATTTTTATAGATCTTTTTTTCACTTCAACTTT